AATGAAGTAATAACAATATGATCATGTTCTAATAATGTCCGAGAACCATGTAGATATGCATGAAGTCTCTTGAAACCCCAAACTGCTACTAAACACTCCTTCTTTATTATGGAGTAGTTCACCTTTGCTAGTTGTAATGTATGGCTTATGTATGTAATGGGATGGCAATGACCAGACACACTTAGGCTCTTTTGCATTAACACACCTCCAAAAGTAATATCAGAAGCATCCATGCACAAAATGAAAGGTTAAGTGTAGTTAAGATTTACAAAAACCAGAGGAGTCATTAATAGTTCTTTGAGATCTATGAACACCCACTCACAGTCTACAAACCAGATGAAAGATGATGTTGATGACTTTAGCAATGCTTGGAACAGTGCAATGCAATCAGAAAGATGATCCACAAAATGACCGAGATACTACACCTTGCCCAAGAAGTGTTGGACATCATTCATACACTTCAGAATAGGGAACTTTAGAACAGCCACAAATTTGTCAAGATTAACTTGCAAACCCTCACAAGAAATACAATACCTAATATAAGTCATGTCTTTGGACCTAAACACGCATTTCGACTGCTTCAATTTTAAATTAATGTCCTGTAACTGATCTAACACTTTACAAACATTACGGACATATTCCTCCCACGTCCCTTCTGAGTGGATCAAGACATCATTAATGAAGTCAGTAGTCATTTCTAGCATATTGCAAAGAAGCTCGTTCATCATCTACTGAAAAGTTGCTAGAGCATTGTTCAAACCAAATGGCATCACCAAAAACTCGTACAAACCAAATGGTGTATGAAAAACAATCTTAGGAATATCTTCTTTGGCCATTGATATTTACCAGTACCCAAAAGCAAAATTTAACTTGGTGAATTAATGACTTCTTCCTAGATAATCCAAAAGATCAATAGTGTGAGGAAAAGGGTACACATTTGGGATCGTCACTTTCTTTAACAAATAATAGTCAATGCAAAAACAAATACTCCCATTAGGCTTTATCACAAGATGAGGTTCACATGCCCAAGGACTCCACAACTTTCAAATAATACCCTTTTCCAACATTTCATTGACATTTGCACGTAAAATGTTGATCTCTTTGGGTGACCAACGACAAACAAAAACCTTGATTAGATCAACATCCCTGGTTGGAATCGAATAACACGTGGTAATCTTAGCCCTAGACAATAGGTTAAATCCAAAGAGATTGGTATACTCCTCTATGAGGCAGTCAATTGCTGCAACACAAAGGTCATAGGAGGGATCAGAAAAAGGAGTGGAACAAAATAGAAACATAGAAGGAAATAATGGGGAAACAAAAATAATGGAAGAAAAAATAAAAATAGAGGGACAAAGAGGTACGGAAGTGATAGAAGCCTTAAAGTAATACTTCGCATAATGGCACTGCAATTAATCTATACTAAGGATGAGGTCAAAATCTTGATTTAACACCACTCACAATGACTACAACCCAAGTTCAAGATCACCCACACTCACAATTAGGTCCGCTTCATCTTATACATATGCATGTGTATAGCCATTGCTATAAAGAATGAAAACTGGCTCCACTACACAATGCAAATGTAGACGATAACATGTGGCAACAAGTCAAGCAATAAAAGATAAACTCAAACTTATATCAATTAACATGGAGAGAATAATAAAAGACCTCTTGTTATAAAAATGAGCTTGGAAAGTAAACATTGGATGAATTGTTGCCAAGTGAACCCTTTAATGATACTCCCGAAAGAAAGATGGAAGGGTCTCTAACTTATTCGTGCAAGGTCTCTTTATTATTCGCACGACTTTTCATTTCTCAAATGCATCTCGGTGTCTAGACCTTTCACTGCAGGAACACCAACAGGACATTGTTGATGCCAAGGTCTCCACCTAGGAAATGGAGGCCGCCAATCCGGAAAACATCGATAACACCGATAAGTGTGACCAACTTCATCACATGCCTAACAACAAACATTATAGCCACGACCACATCCTTAACCTTGAGCAATAGCAATATCAACATCCATTAGAATAGGATCATCTCCTACAGGAAGTGGAGCTAAAGGACGTGCAGTGAGAAATGGAAGAAGAAATATCTCATAACATTGTGCTAAGCGAAGGGCATCGTCAAGAGTGATTGAAGCAAGTGTATGCATAAGTCTTATAAGATTTTGATAAAATATTGGCCACAACATTTCTAGCTTGATCTGCTCCAACATATTTAACTCCACATGAAGTAAAAGGTTTCGGAAACGAACGCTAAATTGCATTACTAACTCAAATGGCCCTTGATGAAGATGATGCAATTGTTAAAAGACATCATTAAAATTGTTAGCATGTTTGAATATACATCTGAAGACATTTGGGAGAATATTTTAATCCCCACGAGTGGCTGCGCTCAAACCATTGTACCACTATAGCACTGCCTCTTGGAGACATATGGAAAACTCATGTAAATGTCGAACATCATTCCAAAAATGATATGTGACAATCATCATAAAGTGATCGAATTAATAGTACATATCATCCCTAGGATTCCCACGAAAGAACTCCAGTTGAACACAAGGATTGGCACTAAGAGCAAGAGGAGTTGTACCACATGCCATGAATGCCGCCATTAATTAAATTTGGTTATTCAATTGCAATTGCATAACATCAAGCAATTGCACCAATTGCTACTCTAGAGTCCATGGAGGAGGAGACTACTACTCTATCATAAAGATGAATGAAAAGAAAAGAGTAAAAACTAAAAGGAAAGGGAGATTTAAATAATACAAAAGCTAGATATAAACCAAAATCCTAAAAGAAAGGAAATGGAAAAAATTAGATCTAAACAATGCAAAAGTTAGATATAAACCAAAATCCCAAATCCCATTTTCTATATTCCCTTTCCATACACTCACATTGGTGGAGGTAAGGGGCACTTTTGATTATCCTTAAGGAGTGCTTTGCATATCAGTTAGCCTAAAAACCTTAGTTTATATATAGGAGTGGTTTAGATTGAAACCAATCTGATGGCTACCAAAATCCCACTATGCTAATATTAGTATATGGCATTACACTTCGACCTCACATTTTGAAATAATTCTTATTAAGTAATACTTTTTAAAGATTTAAATATTTTGAAAAATATTTAAAACATTATAGAATTTTGTTCATTCAAATTATATGCCCCTTTTTTAGTTTATTAACTAACAACCTTTATTGAGCCAAAGGGAACCAGCACCTCCATTTTTGCATAGAATTTATTAATCCTTCTATTGTATAGACAAAGTATTTTATGTTAGATAATTAATTATCCACTTGTATTGCAATTCTACAATGAATTCTAATGAATGCCCTACAAGACAAAGTACAAAGTACATTATAACAGCCCATATTGATCCATAGGAGGACTCAAGGCTAGCCATGTGGTAGAGGATGTGAACCATACTAACATGCTTAAGAATCTAACATGGAGGGGATGGTGTTGTTAGCAAGGGGATCAGCTAGCACATCTAAGAGTTCTTGTGGTTTCCTCTACTAACCCCTCATGATGCTCCTTATAGCATGATTACTTGGACACTCATCCACACCCCTCTTTATGCATCTTCTCCCAATATGAGAGTGTAAGTTTGTTATTGTAATTGTTTGTCTCTAGTAGCTATTTGTTTAGTCAATTGTTTGCTATAGTGTCTCCATACTTTGGAATGCCACCTCACTTCTGGAAATCTCCCTCCTCCTATTTTTAGGAAAAATGGCATCTCCACTCTCAAGAGGAAGGACTTCTAGACAAGGAGATTCACATTCCTCTCCCCTTGAGGGAAAGGGAGGACACATTCAATCGTGTCAAAGGAGCCATAGTGGGGAGCTGATAATGACGGCTTGGCCCTAGACCATGTGGATGGATGAGAAGCTTATAGTGCCTATTATAGCACTCCTCAAGAACCCCAAAATAGCATGAAAACTAGGAAAGTTGCTAGCTCCTATGCATGACACTCAAGTAAAAAAGGAGCTTTTTTTACTAAAGATTTCTTTGGCATTGCACATCAATACCTTGTGTATAAGATGGGTGCAGAGTTTGACCTTTACCTCGATATTTTTTACTATACAACACACAATAATAGAGTGGCTAGTTGTGAGAAAGTGAATGTGTTATGCATAGCACTAGAAGCACACAATATTTCCTACCAAGCAAGCAAGGCTTAAGGATTTGCTAAGCATGGCAAACAAGGCTACCTGAGAGTGGGAGGAGAAAACACTTGGTAGCAATAGAAATATGTTGTGAGTCTAATAGGGAAGAGTCAAAGGATCTAGAGCACTGAAAGCTTATAGCATGTCGAGGTGAGTACAATAGGAGCAGAGGTAGACACTAGCATGGTTCTTTTAGTTGTTAGTGACAACAGTAGAGAACTAGTACTTGGTGCTCAAAGTGTGATGGAGATGGCCATGGCTTCATGCCAAGGCACACTAAGAGGACATTAGTAGAACAAATCTTGCAGAATGACTTTATTTCATGTGCAATGAGGATGGCTGCTCGTGATTGCATATATTTTGAAGAAGAATGACAAGATTATGAAGGAGACTATACTATAAACATCCATTTTTCCAATCAATTTGGAATATAATGTCTTTAGGTTTGAGTAAATCCAAATTCAGGACCTTACACATACACATTCACATCTTTAAACTTAAACAAGCCCTATGGAATCCTCATCTACCAAAGGTGGAAAGATAGGCTACTTATGTAAGGTGGTGTAGACAGTGTTTGACTGGGAGGGCTGCTTAATCCTCCAGCATCTATCAAAGGTGGATGCAGCTATCAAGATACGCAAAAAGAGGTTACTTATGTGAGGGGCAATAAGTTCATGATTGCCAAGCTTTTGCAATGAGACAGAAGATGAAGTCCTCTATATTTGGAAGACCCTAGAAAAAAAAGGTGTGGCACACCAACCATACAAGGCTTATGATATAAAGGGAGATAATATTATCCTCCTGGCCTTAGTTCTAGATACGAGGATGAGAGTGGCAGTGATCTGCTCGAGCTTATTGTACATGGAGGTCACAACAAACAACAGAGTCAGGTCATACATGGAGGTCATGGCAAACAACCAAGCCAGGAGGCAGGGCCTGTTTGCTGCCGGGATGCTGGAGCACGCCAAGTGCACAAGGTGCTAATAAGCAACGTCTCGCCCTATGCTGTCTAAAACCACAGAGGTGAACATTTGGTGTTGCTGCACTGTGAGAGGATAGCATCAATCACCAACATTCCTCACCTGTGCAAGCTCTCCAGCATCAGCCTGGGGCATAGACTTGGGAAGTATGTGTATCTACTATCAAGTTTGATGATGAGGCACTGAAGGTTGAGCACTCTCAATGCGACAAGGAATTTCTGACCTAGGTGAAGTCACAGCTACAGCTTGGCCCGTGCTTAGCAGGAGCCAGGATAGAGAATGAGCTCAATGAATTGCTTCTTCGATACTGGCACATTTCCAGCACGAAGGCCAACAACATTGGCAAAACGGACATAATACAACACAGAATCCACACAATAGCTGAGCATCCTATCAAGCAACATCCTTACGGCGAATCTCCAAAACAGAGAAGGGTGCTATGACTATCTGAGGAGCTGCAGAAGATTCTTGATGCAGTTGTGGAGCCGTCAACCTCTCCATGGGCATCATCAGTTGTGATGGTGGCAAAGAAAGATGGGAGCATGAGATTGTGCGTTGATTACCAAAACTTGAATGCAGTGACAAAGAGAAACGTGTATGGGTGGATGATACACTTGACCAGCTCGTAGGTGCAAGATTTTTCAGCTCGTTAGATCTAGCATCGGGTTTTTGACAAGTTCTAGTATGTGAAGAAGACCAAGAGAAGATGGCATTCATCTGCAGGGATGGACTATTCCAGTTCAACATGATGCCATTTGGTTTATGTAATGCAAGCACCACATTCCAGTGTCTCATGGATAAAGTACTTGGGAGCCTGAGATGGGAATGTGCCTTGGTATACATTGATGATGTCAATGTATAAGGATGCTAGATCAGATCTCTTGGATATGAGGAGAGTCTTTTCAGCAACAGGCCTAAAAGTCAAGCCCAGGAAATGCCACCTCTTCATGGAAAGTCTTGGCCACATGGTTTCAGCAACTGGGATTGGGACACTTTGTTTCCAAGGCTAAAGTGCATACAGGATCTCTAAACATGAGTCCATGGGCTTTTGAGTTGCTTTATAGAGGTCAAGGAAGCCATAACATCTAATGCCTGACATGCCAGCTCTAGAGGAGAGCCTAGACTTCGTGAAATACATTGAGCATTTAGCCAAGAACTGTAGGACCTGAGGTGAGCATGCAAAAGCTAACATTTGACAAGAGCAGCAACATTCTGCTAGAAACTTCAACAAGAGAATTGCCAAGCATCCATTCCAGATAGGTGACCATGTATT